GCGATCTCACTAATGGTTGCCTTCACAGCGAATCCGGTTTCTTGCCGCTAATTACAAACATTTTGGAGGCAAAAGACTAAATATAACAAATACAAATTAAATCTGTACATACAAACAAAAATGAATGAGAAGCAGAGCCTACTTTTTCCCATTGCATATGTTTATCTACGGCTGAGAGGAGAACGATCACATGAGCTCTACCATCTTCTTTCCTACTGGCTGTTGCTCCCGAAAGTCTCTTTTCATTTGCATAAAGTTGAAGGATTCTGAACTTTGTCGCATCGCTGGACATGCCGGTCACCAACGGCCTGTCGCTCTTGTCGCCGGAAATCACCAGCTCTCCATTGAAATGAATGGGATCGTGTTGCTTTGACGTTGCGTGTCGCTTGTAGTGTGAACGGGGCTTCAGCTGGATCCTTGGTGAATCTGGAGTGGGGTGGGTCCTTAATAAGAATGATTTTTTTTTTTAACCATTCTTTTAAACAATCTTAAACGTATTTAAATTGTACTGCCATTTGACATAAGCCATTTAGACAAAATAAACAAATTCCCAGCTTTAAAACTGTAAGTAATGATTCAAAATTTAAACCTAATGCATGACAATCCCATCAGAAAAATGTGAATCCCCCAAAAAAAGACAGAGGATTCACAAAAATGGACCCTTTCCATAGATATCATAGCAAGGTAAACACAACTGTAGCTTTAAAAAAAAAAGCCAATTTGTACACCACAATCAAACCAACCTTCATATAATTTTCCCTGCAGCAGCATTTATCCTGATATGACACATCTGAAGGTTGTGATGTTCTCCAGTGAATGAAATAAAGGACTGATGATGGTGACAAGTTCTATTCCCCTTTTTTTGTGCCACCTCAGAGGAAGAAAGACAACAGGAAAAAAAGTTACTCATTTTCTATCACCAGTGGAGGAAATATCTTACAAATGCACTTATGATTAGAATCATACTTAAGATATTAATCCCAATGTGAGGTCTAGAAACGGTTAAAACTGAATAACATCTTACTGTAGTCTCTGTGTTGGGTGCCTGTTTTCCCTGAAAAACGTGTGCTTGATCTAAAAATGTAAACCAATATCTTATCATTAGCAGTTATCAGTATTTGAAGAGGTGAAATAAAAATTACTCCGAAACAGTCATGGACACAAGCATAACAAATATAAAACATTTCTCAACTTTCCTATAGATTCCAGTGTTTCCGAGTGTAAATTGCCGTTTTCTCATTCACTGTACTTATTCCGATGTTCCTTTACTTCTCACGAGTTTGAGTTTTAAACTAGCTGACATTAATACAAACACACAGCAAATTCAGACGCTGCATTGAAATACATAACTACTAGCCAGCGCGCTAACGCTAATCGCGATTAACCTCTCACTTTGATTTCCTCTCACTCACATAAATTATGGACACAAAACATAACTTTACGTTGGTTTGACTGAAAAAAATTGTGTTACCTGATATCGCCATGTTTGCAGGACCTCACACATGCAGTCTGCCCCTTCCTCACTCCAGCTTCTCCAGCTTCTGTTCTCCGTTGACATGTCACAGCTCATATTAGTTTAAAATAAGAATTTAAAATCAGGAACATCAGGAACTGAGTGACCGAGTTATCTCGCGGATCAGTTGCAAACACATCATCACCAAACTGACGTATATTTTCAAACCTTACTAGTAAGAAAGCGCGCACTTTTGTCATTGGCCAGTTTCGTGGATGACAGTCAGATTAGCCAATCATGATGAAAGCAACCAGGTGAAACAACCAATTGCAATTGTTTCAGAGTGGTAACGAAAGTAAAGAGTTTTTTTTTTTTTAAAGAAACGTGTGTATTTTTTAGGCTGTATTATTTGTTTAGTTCAGTGTATGAATAAAAATGTAATAATGAATTGCAAACTGTAGGCACCTACACAAAATTGTAAATCCACACAAAATCTAACTTTTGAGATTAAAACTGCATCCATTATAATTATTGTTACTAATGACAATAATTATATTTGTACATTGGATTTTTGAAGGTGTTTTGATCAAAATATCATAAAATGCTAATAAATAAAATATTAATGATCAATAATTCAAAAGGCAGATATTTCTTGTTAATGACATGACATTGATTCAACATAGATATTTTAATTGTCTTTTTTTTAATGATTTAGCATTAAACTTCATATCAACATTGTGTAAACGTTAAAACAGCAACTGACATTATTTC